CCATTCCTGGATTCCCTGCTCACCACACGCCAGGCTCTCATGTTTCCAAGAGGTTTGCAGCATGAGGATTCTTTTGTTGCCGTCATGAGGTCTTCATTCAGGGGGAAGGGGTGTGCCAAGTAGCCTGATCCCTCACCCCTGACACCCTGAACCCAGTTGATCCAAACCCCTTGCAGCCCAGGCTACTCCTATGAGATCGTTCCTGGAGCTGTGTCAATGAACATTGGCCTCTCAGTTGGTTCTGGGCAGAGCTTGGACAGGTGGGGGCTTCCCCCTGAGCCCAAGCCCAAAATCCTAAGCTACCCACATCCTCTAAACCCTAAAGCAGGTTGGTCCGGGGCCACCCACCAAGTGCCTGGATCTCTGTGGATTTCGGCTTTGCCGTCGGCATCACCGCGAAACTCACCTGGAGTGGTTCCTCTGAGCCATTAAATTCACCAGTTTTAGGGGAAAGATATTTTTTCCCTAGATTCAGGTTTTAGGGTTTAGGGCGTAGGGGGTCTCCCAAAATGAGGGGTACCTTTTTGGGAGTCCCTATAATAAGGACTATAGAATATGGGGGTCTATTTTGGGGTCCCCTTATTTAGGGAAACTACCAAAGATTTTTTCCTGAGTTGTTTAGTGTTCTTCACCGTTTTTTTGGGGACTTCCGGGTTTTGTGAAAAAGAAGATTCAGCAACATGACCATGACATGGAACCCCTTGCATGTGGACTGGAACGGAGAAAGGGCCCCGAATGATCCAGGTGTTGGCTTGGGCGGAGGAGTGAGCTGCGGCGCCTCGGGCTGTGGCACCTACATCACGGTCGCAGCGATTGGTTCGGTGAACCTTCCCATGGTCACGGCCGCCTGTCCCTTTGGGGCCGCCCTGGGAGCCGCCACCTGTGCCCAAGTTCCTGGGTTGTTGTTAAGGAACTTCAACTAATTTGCAAGAATATGGGTATATAGTCAAGAATAGGGTTTCCTTCTTATAGTAATAACTAAATACAAGAGTTTTTTTTAAAGAAAAAACCCCTTATCATCGTAATAACTTAAGTAATAACTTAATTCAAGTTCCTTAATCACTTAACCCAGGCTTTCGGAGGTGGTATCTCCGCGATGTGTTGTAACATCAATTTGCAGACCGGAAGCAACGACTGCCGCTAAGCGCTTGGGTGCTTTTTACGCAGTCCGGAAAATGACATCAAGTTGCAGACCGGAAGCAACGACTGCCGCTAAGCGCTTGGGTGCTTTTTACGCAGTCCGGAAAAAGAGCCGCCACGGGCGTCTGCTTTGCACCTCCCCTCAAACATACGTTGTAGGTGTCAGATGCAACAGCTGTAACAGATGATGGGAGATGTCATGAGTAAAACACGACTCGACTGTGCAGCCGTTTAGGCAGCAGGGACAGTATCAGACCGTGAGACCCTCATGGCATTGACGTTCAGAAGCGCGTTTCATGGATGTCGCATCTATATGCAGCACCCACGCTATGAATAGACGCCAGAGGAAGCACTTGAAGGAAAGTAGCCAGTTGCAAGGACTGCTGCGAAGATGTTGGATCGTTGCAGGGAGTCGTTCTGCAAGAGCAGCAGCCGAGTGTCAATGCCGTTGACATTGAAGCCATTTGACTCTTGGCTAAGTTGATATGATCATGGAAATATTCTGCAAACATTTCACCTTTCAGAAAATGGCTTGGTAAGTTGTGGCGCCCCAGCTGTACATAGTTGATAGATTTCTTGTTCCAGCGCATGCGGGGATCACGCTGTTCGTTTACAAGCACCTCTTTTCATGCTTCGTTCAGGCAAGAACACAGTTACCTCAGTCACCTTCGAAATCGTGGCGCTTTCTACTTTTCGTTGCTTTAAGTTGGCTTTTGCTGAGATCATTTTCCATGCCCAACGAAAAGTATTATGAGGGACGAACTCACTTAACACGTCACTTGACAGCAATGCTAGCACCCTGCTGGAAAACAGTGCCAGTTCTCAGCATGAGTGCTCACAAGGTTTGTGATCTCAGCAGCTCTGGACTTGCTTGCGCGCATCATCTATATGTGCTAGCATCGCTTTTATTGCTGGTGATGTGGACAGAGATGTCCGTGACGTTGACATGATGTGACTTCTGCTTATGTCAGCTGTGATGCTGGGTGGATCAAAAATGATGGCGGCGCAGCAACTATTTGCTGTCGATGTTTTACGGTCACACGGATGTCTATTGCTCTTCAGGGTTTTTGTGAATGCAGACTTCTGTGTGGTAGTCAGTTTCCACCGTGTCTAGCCGAGATTTCTCATGCCAAGATACCTCAGATTCAATCTATTTCTCTGAACTGTCCGACGAACCTTGTTCTGGAGGGCATGTGTGGCCCACAGCTGTGGCAGACCACCCAGCCTTGAGGCCATTTGGGTTCAGGTAGATGCTGGCCTCATGCATAAGTTCTGTCCTCACTGAGGATGTATCGCAAGAGATCCTGCGTCCAAATGACAACGACTTCCTCAGCTTTGAGCTCACGGATTTCAAAGGAGCCAATATCCATTGCCGCTGCGCATTGATTTGGGTTTTATTTAGTTTTTGCTGCCCCGTACTTAGCGGACTTAGCATGGTCAAGGTCATGGAAAACTTGTACAGCCAGGATGATTTGAGGTGCCCATCAGCACACAAACGCACACCCCTTCGCTCGTGCTAATAGGAGTCGATTTTTTGGAGGTCGTTGGCTCGTTGACGGACGAGTTTCGTGCTGAGACTTGCAGCTTCAACCTTGAAACTTCATGCCGAGGTGACCTACAAGCCAGGGGTTCGTCGATGGCTCCGAACATCTACTTGCGGCTTTGAGTGGCATCCATCCAAAAGCAGCAGGTGGCCACAGCTCTCGAGAGTTTATCAGTGAGGGCTGAGATCTCTTCAGATGCAGGCAGACTCACGACTGCGCAGATCAAGGAACTTCTGTTGAAATTTCATGGCTGCTAGGCACTGCTAGGCCCAGTGATTGTGGCAACCGCCTACTATTTTGGCGGCAAAGATGTTCATGTTTGATGAAGTGGACTTAACATGCCAGATGACATCAGTGCTTCCCTGCACAGGAGCGCCTGTGAGAGCGTGGCGAAGGGGAGCTGATGCGCGGTGTCACCCGGAAAGACGACTTTGTTGCGCTGCTTCGGTCATCTGATGAGCGACGCCGCCCGCCGCCAAAAGTTTGTGTGGAAGTTGCTTGGTTGGCTAAGCGCCCGTGTTTTACGAGTTGAGCGGTACGTGTCATTAGGAAGCTCCGAGCAGGGATGGTGAAGCTGAAGAATCCATTATTACCAAGGATTTTTTCGGTATTTTGAGAAACATAGATGTCCTGTGGATCTGTCGGTTCTGCAACTTGAGCAAACCAAACCCAGGCGGCAAGTTTTAGCTCATGTTCTCAAGCGCGTGTTTTTTTTTTGCTGCGTAATTTGGAGAGACATGGAATCTGAAGCGGCCAAACCAAACCTGAAAGGGTGCTGTCCAAGGTACACGAAGACCATTACTTAGACCATTGCTTGACTTCAACATCCGAATTTACATTCTGCATGTTGATCCGGATTTCTAGATTTCTGGTGCTCAACTATCTTGATTCGTGTCCAGCTACCGAAGGGTGTTGAGTACACGCCGTGCGAGACCAAGGAACAATGATACGTGGCGAATCAGTGGTGCTGTGGTTCATGAATGAAGCACCTAATCCAGATGATCGAAAGCTGTGACCATTTCTGTCTTGCATTTTCAGCAACGAACCGACGGCAAGGCATTGTTTGCAGAGAAACGTGTTGTGACCTCGGTGATTCGCGTAAAGCAAACGGCTTGGCGTGGAGTTGCGGAGTCTCCTGAGCGCGCAAGTTTTGGATATCCAGATGGAGAATAGCATTATGGTGAAAGCTTATACTTATAAGCTTAGAGGCTGATAGAGGCGCAGAGGCTTGTACATGCTTCTAGGATTCATAACAGCATTTAGAGGCTTCGCAGCTTATATTAGGCTTGCTGGTAGCCAGGCTTAGAAGTAGAGGCTTAGAGGCTTACAAGCCCAGATGCTTAGAGACTTGTTATAGAGAGACGAATAGAGACGTGCTGACAACCAGGCTCAGAAATAGCGGCTTGGAGGTTTTGATCTCATGAGAAATACAGGAGGCTTAGATGCATAAATGTGTGCTCTCCTCTGAACCGGAACAATGTTAAACCCTACATCCCATCCCTAAGCCCTCTACACACCCAAAAGACTCATAAAAAACATGGCTAGATTTTCCTAGAACCCTCAACTAAACCCTGAACCTTCAGCCCAGTGCTGACGCGCATCTCTTCTTGCGTGACACAATTTTTGTGACACTCTGTAGCAAAGGACCAGTGCCCTACATATCATGGTAACATGTTGCTGCAAGATCCGGCAGGTGTGCGGATTGGGCCAAATGCATAGCATAGAGCAGAAGGGGAGAGTGTTTTCGAGACATCTCATCAACCTTGTTTCGGGTTTACGGACATTAGGAGTTCTTTTTTTGCCAGTCACCTACAATATGGATTCTAGTAACGCAGGTGCATAAGGCACTCCCCCTTTTTTGGGAAACACCCATGTACATCCTTGTGTGTCAGCTGGAGACATCTGCAGCTTTCTGGCTTGAGAAGGCTTGGGTTTTTTGTGGGCGACAGCCGTTTGGCCAACTTGAGTCGACAACTCATGTGCGCCTTTGCCGTTTAGGCGCCTCTTTAAATCGTGCCTGTCGCGATAGAAAGGTTTCAAATCGTAATCAAAGACCCACTTAGCCTATCCCTGTGCTGACCTGACTTATTAAGGAACCCATTAACCTTACTCAAGCCCTAAGACCCAAATCCTCCGCCCCCAAAAAAACAGACCCGACAGGCGATCCCCTCTTTGTTCCAATGAAGCGGCTGTGGAGCCCGGCATTGTTCGTGTGCTGCTTACCGGGTGTGGGCCTGGCCTACAAGGTGTGGAAGCAGCCCGAAAGGGTGTGGGTAGGGGTAGGTAGAGGATGTAACATGAGGGGTTTAGGGTTCATCGCGGCAGGGCTCAGGGTGTAAAAGCCTAAACCTCAGATTTGAAGCCTTGAGCTGAGCCCTCCCCAAAGTCTTAAAAGATCCTTGAGCGGCGCCAGGTCCTTTCCTCCCAGGAACCCGAGCAGTTAAACCAGACGTTGGAGCACGAGGAGCTGATGACTGCGTACCGGGAATGTATTGGGGGTTCATGGTTTAGATCATGATAATGGAACTTAACATGGGATCTAGGGTTTATATAGGGGTTATAGGGTGTATATATATATATATTGGGGTTATGTAGGGATAATGGAAAAGAAAATGGAAACTACTACGTTATAAAGGGGTATATATTGGGGTTATAGTAGGGGATAAGGTTTAGGGTTTAGTGTAGCCTCAAAAGGAACACCATGTAAAGCCTAAACCCTCCAAACCCTGCCTGACGACACCTAGGTGAGCACCATAACATGACTGTGCAATAATTGAATCTGCATTACGGTGGAGAAAGGTCCCATAGAAAAAGACACCTAAAGCACTTCCTTTCAAGCCGCTACCAGACCAAGCAACCTGCACCCTACTATAAAGACACCTAAACCACAGTAGTAGTTTCCATTTTCCATTATCCCAATATAGCCCCAATATAACCCCAATGTAACCCGGATATACTATAATAGTACCAGACCAAGCAAAGACGATGCGCCGGAGGGCCCCGTTCCGCTCTATGCACAACTTGCGGCAGCTATCCCACTGGTGCGAGCCTGCTAAAAGTTGCGGTTGGGGGTGTGGGTTTTGGGGTAACTCTAGATTGATGTTGGGTTTTGGGTGCAGGGTTGAGGGTAGGGAATGTTGCAATATTTTAGGAGCTTACATTTCGGACTCGTGCACCTTCCAATTGCCAGTGCCTCAAGAGCAGGCCGAGAATGGCTTGAAACCCGCCTGAGGTTTGCCAGAACTTGACGAACTTCACGGGCATCATCAATGACAAGGGGCTCCCAGCGAACGAGAACATCACCTACCATGCAGGTTCCCTAGAGAGGGACTTGGAGATGCTTTCGGACAAGGTGAGCGGCTACTACACGGTGCTTCACGAGATGTCACTAGGCTGCAGTTATTTAGGGTAGAACAGTCTGGGTCAGTTGATTTCGTAATGTAATGATCCCAAAATAGATGTATATACAGTTATATACACACAAATACTCTTCGGTGGATTAAAGAAGCCAATCAAGCAGGGATCCTGCACAGCGCTTGTCATTCCACAAATGGGGTTCCCTTTATGCACGAACATATGTCCCCAAAAGCCTCGAATGGCCCTTAATTTCAGGAGGGCTCAAAAGGAACAATAGCCAAAAAGTAGATTGGATTTTTCGCTTGAAGCCCTTTATCAGCAGACCCCGGAAGTTATCCCTTCAGAAAAAATTGTGCCGGAATAAACATTGAACCCTCGCAGTACTAGTCGAAGTTCCTGGGTAAACCCTAAGCCCGAAAGTCCGACCTACCACTCGTAAGGGTTGACAGATCCAACATCCCATGCCCACAACCTAAATTTTGGATTATTCCCTCTATAATCCAAGTATCCCAACATACTATAGTAGTTTCGATTTTCTTTTCCATTATCCCAATATTACCCCAAAATATGCCCTATAATCCTTATATGACTCCTTTATAGTAGTTTCCATTTTCTTTTCCATTCTTGTCCCAATATTACCCCAATATATACCCTATAATCGCTATAAAACCCTTGTATAATCCCTGTAGTTTCCATTTTCTTTTCCATTATTGTCCCAATATTACCCCA